TAACAAATAATCATTTAAACTATATGGTTCTAATTCTACTAACATTTTTTTAATCACCTTCTTAAATTTATGAAGTCCTTTAATATTTTTTATACTTTCCGGAAGTTTATTATAAAGTTTAATACATATATATTGTGGACTCTTCTCAGTTATAGCTAACCTATGTATTGGATAAGTAATGTTTATACTACGAGTGTTGTACTCGTGACCGACATTATGAATCATAAATATCTCTCTGTTTTTTACTACATATACAAGACATTCATAAACGAAAACTGCAAAAAGTGTCATTAACCTTTTTTTTTAAATAAACCTCTACATGTTTGACTATACTCTAATTTGTACATTATTCGTAAAACTCTTTTTTGTAACACAAATATTTTTTGGATATTGCTACTCCCCCAAAAAATTATTCCTGATCTCATACTCGCTTCAAAATTGGAAAAATATATCATACGCAGTGAGCTTTCATTCAAATACTTGGCAATGATTCTGAAACTATAACATATTTTGTTCAATTTGCTACATAAATTATCGATATGTGGTGACCAGTCCAAATATTCACTAATATATACACCTAAGAATTTTGTATGGGTATTGTATTTCAAGTGACCATCTTGCATTTGTAATTTATCTGTAGTTTCCATATTACTTTGTCGAGTTCTAAATAAAATAATATTTGTTTTCTCCACATTTAATAAAAGACCATTTTTTGAGAACCATTGCTTTGCATTAAGCAATAAGGTATTACTTAAATCAGTTACTTCCGGGTAATTTCTACCAGTAATAAGTAAATTTGTATCATATGCATAATTTGTTATATAACAATTTTTTACAATTATACTAATTAAGCCATTAAGATAAACTATGAACAAAATTGGCCCAGTAATACTGCCCTGAGGAATCTCGATGTTTTTATTTTTAATACTTGATTTTACTATTTTCCCATTATCAGATATTTGGACTCTCTGTTTTCGATTTGATAAATATGAGATAAACCAATTCAATGCATTCCCACGTATTCCATACTTTTCCAACTTTTCCACTAGATAAGAATAATTTAGGCAATCATATGCCTTAGAAAGATCAAGAAAGATTCCCAACGACAATTCATTATTTTCAAAGGATTCCAAAATTTGTTCTGTAAATTGATATATCGCGGTTTCAATTGACCTCCCTTTTATATAGCCATGTTGGCTATTATTTATTAAATTACAACCTTTCATAAAGTGTATTAGTCTATCACACATTGCCATTTCAAATATTTTCGAAAAGGATGGTAAAATACTAATGGGCCTATAGTTTTCAAACAATTTAGGATCCCCCTTTTTATATAACGGTTTGATTAACGAAAGTTTTAATTGTTCTGGAAATATAACAAATTTAAAAGAATTATTCATTATGTAACAAAGCGGTTGAACTATACATTTTATACATAATTTGACAATACTTGTTGGGATGTTATCATCACCACTTGTATGCTTATTTTTTAATCTACTGGCCAACTTCATAATCTCTTCAGATGATACAGGTTTAATAAACATTGATTGGCAATTTTCTTGTATGCTGCAAGTAAACGGTACATATTCAATATTGTTTACAAGTTGAGGTATTACATTGATAAGAAATTCATTATAATCATTAGCTGCTTGCAATGTATCTACATCAAAATAAGAATTACAATCACTTTTACATTTACCAATTATTTCATTATTATGTATACTCCACATGGTTTTTGTTTTGTTATCTGAATTTCTTATTTTTTTTGCCTGAACTAACAAATTTTCATATTCTTTTTTTGTTTCATTATACATGGTCTTATAATTTATATCATGATTTGACACTGTTAGTAATTTATCCAGCTTGTCCTTACATTGCTTTATTTGATCATTTGTTTTAAAACTCACCTTTTTTCTATTTTCTTGTCTCCACTGACATGGAAAACTTTCATTAAAAATATTTAAAAAGTTATTAATAAAAGAGTTCCATTGTTTATTGACTTCATTTATCTTTTCTTCATACACTAGATTCCAGCTTTGTTCTTCTAATACTCTCAAAAAATTTATTTTATTTCTCTCATTAAATAACCTTCTGTATTGATATGTTTGTTTGTTTACTTTTTCTAAAAAAAAGATGAGTTTTTGTGCAGTATGATCTGACGTGTACGGCTGTAAGATACATATCTCACAGTCTGTTTCATAATTTGTTAAAATATTATCAATACAACTTTTTGAAACTTGTGTTACTCTAGTGTACTCGTTTACGGTTCGTCGCAGTGGAAAAGAGTTTAGTAAAAAATCTATTTCCAAAATGTTTTTTATATTATCTTTTAGCTCAATATTAAAGTCCCCAGCAATAAATATCAATTTGTTTACATCGTACACTATTGACAATAATTGTTCTAATTTTTCGTAAAATTCTGTTATGTTACTACCAGAAGGTCTATATACACTAACCACTATTATTTGTCTTTTACTTATAGTACATTCAATGGATGCGAAAGATTGTTCACATTTTTTATAATTTTATACTTCAGACCAACACGACAGTACACTGCTGCACCTCCATTTTGCCCCTCTTCCCTGCAAAAGCTCGATGCCAGCGTAAACCCATCAATGCTGATTAGTTTCAGTTGCCATTCAGATTTCCAGTGTTCTGTTATTACAAGAAACTTACATTCAGGATGATCGTTTAACATTATATTTATTTTTTCTACACTATTTCCTATAGATTGCACATTTTGATGAATTAGTGATATTTTCTCTTTGTTTACTTTGTTCTCAATAATTTCCTTCTTGCCAGAAAAAAATCAAATTTGTTTATTCTCGAGTTAACTGGCCAAAAACTGGCATTATTTGCCTGCTCCTCAGGGTATCCCGTTACTCGATGGCCCTAGCTTAAGGTTGTATTCCTTGGACAATTTTAAGTCGGAAGTGCCTTATACACTTTGTCCAAAACTCAATAGTTAAGGAGTCAGGGGCAATATTAAATTTAACAGTAAATAAATCTGGTAGGCCATGTAATTATTTTGACATATTGTTATGGTGACATTGTTTATTCTTTGACGTTGTTATTTTAAGATTAATTTGACATGGTATACGTTTTCAAATCAAGTATATGCCGATATTCACTTTATTTACGGTTAATGTGACGGAAATTCGAGAGCGTCAGTGCGGGAATATCATCGGAGGTTTCCTCATCGAAGAATACCTAATAAGCAAGTTTTCATAAATGTGCATCATCAGTTGACAGAAACAGGTATGTTTCCTAAAGCTACTGCAGAACGTCTCGTGCAGTAACTTGCCGAAAAAGAAGCTATTATTAACATAATCGAAAATAGTCCCTCTACTAGTATACAAAGAATACAATCTGCTCAACAGTTACAACCAACAGACTATGCAGCGCGTGTTGACTTTTGTCGTTGATTGATTATACACCCACAGCTTTGTGGACAAATTATGTTTACGGACGTTTAATAGAGATGGAATTACGAATACCAGAAATTCACATTCATTATTATTATTCATTAAAGCATTATTAGTTAATCATTGAGGCATATTGGCTCGAATTTAAAAGAACCCAAGTGTTACTTATCAGATAGCAGGTGTAGGACACGCAATAGGCCTAAGTACTACCAAAATTCTAATGCAAGAGAGAGAAGTTTTTGGACAAGGCTATTCAAAGAAGAAATGTAATAATAATCCCATAATAATCGAAAGCATTGGAATGACAGGGACCCGTATACACAACGAATTTAATTATCAGCCAACATTAGAATTTCCTCTTCCGAAGAAAGCAATATGCCGTATTTACAAGTTTTCTTTTGAAAATGGCGCATTTATTTAGCAATCGCGAATATTATGATATACTCTACTAACTGGTGTTAATAGATTAAATCAAATACATACATTCAAATTACTTGTACATTGCTGAACATCATTATCACAGTTATACCACATATCTAAGTTATACAATGACATTTCTGAGATTTATTACTTTAGGCGACTGAAGTCTACAAGGTTAAAGGCAAAACGTAATTTGTTAGGTCCTATAAATTCGTCCTGTATCACAAAAATGTATCCTCCGAAGATAAAGATATTAAAACTTTTAAAAGTCACTCCGTAAGTTAAATTATAGTTATAGGACAAACAAATACTTGAATTTTTATCAACTACTTCATATTTCAGTACATATATTTATCTTGTAATTATTATCAAATATGTTGCCCTTAATTGTTAGCAACCTTGAACAGTAAACATGTCTATAATCTCTAACAATAACGATTGTTTACTTTAGATAATCTCATATTGTGGTCTCTCAGCAACACAAATCCTACTTTTATGTAAATACTCGTCTTAAATATCACCGAGGTATTTTATACTTGAGATAAATGGATAGCATCTCCACAAGTGTTGAAAAAAGGTCATGGAGGAAATGCTGATTCTATTAGTAATTTCAATGCATTTAGTGAATTAAAAAAAATAAGAAATAATATCCAATGCTAACGATAGCTAAGAGATCAGTTGTTTTTCTCTATTTTTTTCGCTGCTTTTGATTTAATTTGCGACAGACAATGATAACTTCAGAAGAATTCAATACATTCGATTAAAATTCACGAGAATACTTTGAAATTAAATGTTTTTGAAACGAAATTAATTTTGTACTCCAAATATCAAGTCCCTTAGAAAACCAGGTGCCCTTTCCAGAAAAAAAAAAGATCCGATAAGATCATATTTTTGGTCGGACTAGCCGGCTGACCAGCTAGCCCCTCAGGGCCCGCCCCAAGCAAAAATCGTATCTACGCCCGATTGTCTAAATACTACAACTTATATGGTAAAATTGATCTAGTTGAAGTAAAAAGCTTGTTTTTCTGTTTTTTTTATCTACGTTTTAACTGAAAAGGAAAACGTATGGCCAATGTGACCATATTGAAGGCCTAGGCATGGATAACGGTGATTATTTAAAGATGCTCTCTCTGCTAAATCTCGCGTATACTCATAGTCCGAGAGCCCGTGGCATTTTGAGGGTAGTCATTTTACCAAGGCTGATTTTCACACATATGCGAGGTCTTACATGATACATAAACCAAACGACCTTCAGCTGCCTATCTTCGGGTGGAAGTGGGAGTAATAGAGCCACCCCCGCGGTGAAAAATGTACCAAAGCTGTTTATGTACTTTATTTATAACAATAAATGATAAAAAAACACGTTCAGCTGAAAAAATGCCGGTGGAAAACGCTTCAGCTACTCGTATAAAGGTACGAGAATCATATACAAAAAATTTTTAGTAGGTACCAAACGAGAAATCCATTTTAATGATAGTATAGAATGTGTATGTTATAAAAACAAAGCTTCAGGTGAGCACACGTCGAGGGAATAACTATGGTCAACAATATTTTGAGAAGTGAATGACGTTTTAGTATCTATGATATTTGTGTAAGTGTCTCACCTACAACTACTACAGTCGAAGGCCGAAACTTATACATATATCTGCTATGGACAGGGCAGATCTGTTTTGAGGTGGATGTGAGAGGGGGCAAGCAAATCTTTTCTGGATTTCCTTCAGTACAACTTACATAATAAAAGTGTAGATCCCTAGATTTGGGCGAGATCCGGAACATTTTCAAAATTGCAAAAATGTTTAAAATTTTTTTAAAAATATCTACTTTATCTGAGTTTTTTTACTTATATCTTAGAACCTATGCATTTTGGTAGAATATTGAAATTGAAAAGGAAAAAAGTTTTAGAATTAAATTTTGCACAATACTGTAAGTAAAAATGTTTCAATTTATTACCGATGTTGCAAAATAGCAATAATTGATAAAAAAGACAAAATAATCAAGTTTTTTTAATAATTTTTTAAAAATATTTGAATTGCTCCGAGGGCGTTCTAATTTTGTTAAAAAAAACTTTAGAGTATAATAAAACAACACACCAAATTTCATTGAAATCGGTTCTATAGTTTTCGCAAAATAATTTTTTGAAAAAATTTTGAAAAAAATGTTTTGAATTTTCAAAATGTTGCATAGCCTCAAATAAAGCATCTAGATACTTAAAAATTTTGTCACATAGAAAAGACCCCTCAATGTTTCAAATTGTTTTTGAAAAATTGAAATCGGTTGATTAGGACGGCCACAGTAAATTTTTAAAGTTAACATTATTTTTTTTTATTTTTAAACTATTAGATTACATTATCAATTTGCAATTTAGTTTTTTTTTAATTATAAAATAGGTATTTTATAAATTTTTCAAACATTTTTGCAATTAGCTTAAACGTCTCGACAGGCGACAAAACGTGGTTGAAGGTGACTACGTCGAAAAATAGAAAGATACATACCTTTCTGAATATGTACTTAACTTTTTCATAAATATACTGCCGTTTCGATTTTTAAAAAATTGAGTACTCTTACTTTGTGGATATGCCTTGTAAGATAAGAACCAATGATCTACTGTGTATTTTTACATAAAATTGTTTTGTATGTCTATACGGCACCTTAATCCCCAAGTAAACTGGTCGATCGTAGACTGGTAATTGGCACAAGCCTCATCATTCATTGACCAGGCTCCATTTACCATTTCAATTTGTCCGTTGTCGACTAAATATTTAAATTTCTCCCTCATATCGTCAGTTTGGGATTTCCACCATTTCCAAAAGAACGCAGTTTCTACTTGAATGTACCTGCATAAATAATAATTGTTAGAACTTTTCTAAAATTAAAAATATTTTTATGTCGGACAGAAGAAATAATATGTAGTCGGTTTTCATTCGAAACATAGTCGAAAAGATGGTTTACAGGTAAGCTACAATCTCCTAATGCTTCGAAAATAAAAGTTCGTATTTCTAAACAAATTACGTTTCAAATAGGTACAGATCCAAGTTTGTTGTACTTAGTTTTTTTTTTTCACTAATGCTAAAAAGTTATTTTGTTTAATACTTAGTTGAATGATGATGAACAAGATGTCGTTATATAGCGACTGTAAAAAGAGATATTCATGGTATTCATTCTGTTCATTCTGATTATACTTAATTTTCTCAAAACTACTAAAATACAAGTAGTTCTTGGAAATTTTATTATTCATTTCTCTGTAATCTAATTTTGTTTCCAGGGTATTAGCTATTATTTCTGCAATACATAAAAAACACAAAACCTGTGATCTGTAAATATAATAAAAATATAGATTTCTAAGATTTCTAATGATAGACTCTGACCTGCGCAACAAATTTTATGTTTTTTTAATTCAAAATCATAAGATTTTTCATATTATGATCACATTGTTTCTGTACAATTTGTTTATTATATTTTAAAAAAATATATATAACAAAACAACAAATGAGAATTTGTGAAATGTACTATATTTGATTTTTTGCAACCATTTCAATTTTGCTGAACTTTTAAAATTTGTAATGGCTATAGAGATTAATGACCATAATTGATTGAGTTTAGTTCATTGCATAGTGTCGAGAATTAATATTAAATATAATTCGGAAGTGAACTGATATGTGGATATTTAAATAGTAGGTATATATTATTACAGTACAAATAAAAATATTTATTTAAAATTTAAAAAAATTACCTTCTGTCTGAGTTTTCCATGAGAGCTTCTACAACTGAAGTTATAATATACTGGACACCAGCCTGCTGAATATCAGTTTTCACTGAAAGAATAGTGTAATTTTTATAGTTATGTGAAGTGAAGTACCTAAGACAATTAAACTTGCGTCTTAACATCAAACGGACCTCTGGCAACTCTCACCCAAAAAAATTTAAATAGGAAGAAATGTTCTATATAAAAATGTGTCGATTTTTATTTTTTAGAAACTGCGAATTCTTTGTGTGAAAATGAATTAAAGAAATATTTAATATTCAGATAATTCTCGAATGGTGTTCACTCAATTTCGTACAATAATACTTTATTTTCAAAAGCTGTCGTAACATGTTTATCTACATATTATCCATCGAATAATTTAAAAACTTTTAACAGTTTATTAGTGGTTTTAAGGCTTTTGCGCAGTCACCACTGAAGATGCTGAAGAATGGCGAAACGTTTGCAAGTATTGGTATAAGCCACGGTACAACAACCTGAAAAACCATAGTGATTCAAATGAGATTTACTAATTTTTTACATTTATGTCACTTGGGGCGATTTATTCACCCCTTAATAAAGTTAATTTTCAATTAAATCTATATCTTTCCCATAAAAATAAAAAACGTAGGGCACAAGAAACTTCACACTTGACAAGTTAATGTTTTTGGCAGTTGAAAAAGAACTGATCCTATCTACTAAAACTTTTATATTGGGGCTACCCGGGCTGAGGTGTGTACTCGACGGCGTTATATTCAATTTAAAAAATTGTCATAATTTTTAAACTTACCCTGTAGAGAGTTACAGGGGAAAGGGGAATCGAATTTTCATTGGGACGCTCTGTATAAAGTTTCAAATCCTCTAGTGACATAATCAGGTATTCTAAATATTAGATAGTATCAAAAATCAAATTGAAATAAATGATAACTTGAGTAGACATAGATAAAATAATAAAACTCTTACATTTGCGTTATCATTAGTATATGAAAAATTATTATTTCTATTACCAGTTGCTAATTTAATTTCAATAGGTATCAAAATATTTACAATTAGTACATCATTTTCATCATTAGGAACAGGATAGCACAGCTTTGAAATTGTTTCTATTGGTCAATTAAAACTGACATCAAAAATCAATTTAATTTCGATTGGAATATACAGGGTGTTGCATCACGAGAGGGACATGGCTTAATGGGAGATAGAAGACATCTAGGGTAACTAGGATCGCCTATAGAAATAGCTCATTGGCCATTCTTTATTAAGATACAGGGTAATTTATGATTTTTGGTCAAAACTGCTTTATGTCATAACTTTAGTAGGGAACGGAATAATGGAATATTTGATAGGGTTAATGTACTCACGATACTTCATATATGCATGTATGACAGCAAAAAAATCCAGGTTCGGACTGTAAAAATTGTTAATTTTTTGTGCAAGTCTACAAAACAACTGAATGTATTTTTTTGAAATTCCGATACGATATTCGGAAAGCGCATAAAAAAGTGAACTTAAAGACGTGTTTCTTTTTTTTGTTACACTTTGGTGGTTATTTAAATAAGCTATTGAATATACGAGACTACGGCTTCTAAAACAAAATTACGTAAAGGACACATGATAAAATGGTTTTGCAATTAAAATTAGTGAAAGCTTAATTGAGGGTAGATGTTATAAATAAGCACGCACATTTTAAACGTCATTTTCTTTAAATAATATATATCCAGGTCCGGACTGCAAAATTTTTAATTCTTTTTGTAACTAGAAAACATCGCCCCGTATTTATTCCCATTCCATTTCTTTGGTATTGAAAAGAACATAAAAAAGTAATCTCAGCGACATGTCTCTTTTTCTTGTGACATTTTGATGATTATTTAAATACGTCTGATAAAAATACATGACAAAAAATAAATTATAATCCGTAGACTTCGATTGCCATTCATGTAGATCTACCCAAACATTTACAGTAAATCTGTACTGTGAATTACATAAGCGTTTGCAGAAGGGTATTGCTGTGCCCATTTATAGTCGTTTCTTGAGTAATTTATTTACCTCATTTTTTGTAAACTGCAACTCATTAATAAATAAGGTTTTGTAAATGACCGGACGGTGGTTAGGTAATCAACGCGAAAAAGCCATGAGTGAATGTGGTATCCACCGGTTGGCTTTCTCGCGTTATCTAACCACCGTCCGGTGATTTACAGAACCTTATTTACAGACGAAGCGCAATTTACAAAAGATGGAATGAATATGTAACTCAAGGAAGGACAATGAATGGGCACAACAAAACCCAAATGCAAAATGCTAATGTCATTCACAATACAGATTTTCTGTAAACGTTTGGATCGGGCTTGTAAATGGGCATTAAATAGGGCCACATTTTTTTGAAGAGAAATTAAGTGGTAACGTTTATTTAAACTTTCTTCAAACAATCCTACACAATCTCTTAGAAAATGTCCATATGAGAGGTATGCTCTTTCAACACGATGGAGCTCCACCGCATTTTAGCAATCAGGTCAGAGAGCACTTGGATTATGAATATCCAAACAGATGGATTGATCTTGGCGGTCCATACGAATGGCCAGCGAGGTCTCCAGATTGTAATCCTTGCGACTATTTTTTATGGGGTCACTTGAAAGCCGAAGATTATAAGGTCGAAATCAATAATAGGGACCAATTGATCGACCGTATCATTACAGCTTGCGATGAAATACGAAATGATCCAGTAATTATACGTCGAGCAATTGGAAACTTGAGTAAACGAGTAAGAAAATGTATCGATGTTCAGGGAGGCCACTTTGAAAATTTGCTACAAAATTAATTTAATATTGTAAAGTACATTTAGACACCTATTATTTTCTTTGTATTTTATTGTTATTTGTTTTCCGTGCTTTATTAAAAGTCTTTGTTCCTATTTGCTTTTATTATTTCTATTTTTTAGAAATCCTATTTACTAAAACGAATAAACTACTATTTTTATCATGTATTTTTTACTTACTCATGTCATGTGTTTTTTACTTACTAGTATTTTCATTTTAAAAGCCTTGTTACCATACATTGAATAGCGTATTTAAGTAATCTTCAAAGTGTAACAAGAAAAAGAGACATGTCGCTGAGATTACTTTTTATGTTTTTTTCGATAATCGTATGGGAATAATAAATTTTGCAGTCCGGACCTGGAACACATATTATTTAAAGAAAATGAGGTTTAAAATATGCATGCTTATTTATAACATCTACCCTCAATTAAGCCTTCGCTAATTTTAGTTGCAAAACCATTTTTATCATGTGTCCTTTACGTAATTTAGTTTTAATTTAATGCTTATTTAAATAACCACCAAAGTGTAACAAAAAAAAGAAACAGGTCTTTAGGATCACTTTTTTATGCTCTTTCCGAATATCGTATCGGAATTTCAAAAAAATATATACAGTGTTGTTTTCTAGACTTGCACAAAAAATTAACAATTTTTGCAGTCTGGACCTGGATTTTTTTGCTGTCATACATGCATACATGAAGTATCGTGAGTGCATTAACACTACCAAATATGAACCCATTATTCCATTCCCTACCAAAGTTATGACATAAAGCAGTTTTGATCAAAAATCATAAATCACCCTGTATCTCAATAAAGAATGGCCAAGGAGCTATTTCTATAGGCGATCCTAGTTACCCTAAATGTCCTCTATCTCCCATTAAGCCATGCCCTTCTCGTGATGCAACACCCTGTATATTATTTTTTCAGGAAATTTTAGAATCTAAACCTAAAATTGCTAAATTGTACCTATAACCAGGCAAAAATTCCGAACCATTTTCTGCTAATTACTTATTTTGATTCGACTGATTTTTATAAATTTTTATCACTTATTATTATTATTATTATTAATTCAAGAATACTTACTTCCATAATAGTATTGATCTACTGTTTTCAACCAACCCACATCATCGTGTGAATGAGGCACTAGATGTACATTTATTTTATTTTTATCAATATTGTGACATTTTACGCAACCTATTTGTACATCTAACCTGTCCTTTATATTCTTCAGAGAAGCAGATTCATTACCATTCACTAGCAATAAAACACAAATCGAAATAGCCAGAAACATTTTATCGAGGTGTGTACAACGCGAAGGAAAATAATTGTTAAAGTTGTATAAATAAATTAATGTGTACATCGTTTTCATCAAAATCAGAGATATGGCTGATAGGTGATAACATTTTTAATAAAAAATAATTTATCTGAAGCACTTCAGAAATCATTGTACTATTTTACACACATTTACAAAGTGAGCCTATAATAAACAAGAATAAAGATAAATAAACAAGATATTCAGAATAAACAAAAATTTGGCGTCCTCTATCGGCTAAACGGAGCAATTTTAGAAATAGGTAAATTGGCATTAATCTACTTATTTTCAGTCAAGGAGTCTGTGATCTTCCGTTGTACACGTAATATCCGGTCACCTTGTATTGTGAGAACTACCGACAATAATAAGTTAGCTGCCTTAGTCTTGTTGAACTATAGTAAAGCGTTTGGTACGATTAATCGCATAATTAAATTGACTTCAATTTCTTTAGTTTCTTTAACTGAAAATTATTTTACTGACAGTAGTGTCATATGAAGACTGCGAGCAACTACAAAGAACCCCGCAGAAAACATATGGAAATTGAACACCGGTCAATTTCTATGAAACTTCGTATTTTGATGGTCCTCGTCATGCTGATCAAAAGTCTCAATGGGCACGAAGCCCTACAACCTCTTCCAACCCCCCAAAACCACCCCCAAAGATCAGAGTAATGAACTTGACGGATTACAGGCAATTGGCTTACCGTAGTATTTCACTACTGTAGTCGAACCTATAGACATACCATAACTAGGCTTACGACTATTTATGGGCACCGAGCCCTACAACCCCCCACCAACCGACCAAAACCACCCCCAAAGGTCAGGGGGATACCCTTGACAGATTATTGGTCAATAAAACTACCGAAATATTTTACTACTGCAGTCGAACCTACAGCCACTCAAATTGTAACTAGGTTTAAGACTACTAAAGCCTCCAAAACACTTAACCCCCCATCCCTGTCCCTCCCCACCAATTACCAAAGCCTGTCATATGACTTTTCCCTGCTTACTGGTTGTGTAACAGTTTAATTGTAAATTCCATCTCACAGCCACCTAAACGATCACCACTCTATACTTTCCGACGTCGACTCCCGACAATTGAACCACCCACCCCCAACCCAAATCCCACGGTTGGGGTCGGACCAACCCCAGTTCTTATCGAAGCCTGACATGATTTTTCCCTGCTTACGGCTTATGAAACTGTTCAATCTTGAATTCCATCCTACACCCATCTTATTGTTTAATACCCTTTAACCCACAAAAAGTACCATAAGATTTTTTGCTGTTTGTAGGATGTGAAACCCTGGCTGTAGGTTCGACTGCAGTAGTAAAATATTTGGGTAGTTTTATTGACCGATAATCTGTCAAGTGCATCCCCCTGACCTTTGGGGTGGTTTTGGGGGGTTTATGGGGGTTGTAGGGCTCGGTGCCCATTGATAGTCTTAAGCCTAGTTATGTAGGTTCGACTACAATAGTGAAATATTACGGTAAGCCAATTGACCTGTGATCTGTCAAGTTCATTACCCTGATCTTTTTGGGGGGTTGGAAGGGGTTGTAGGGCTTCGTGCCCATTGAGACTTTTGATCACCATGAGGAGAACTATCAAAATACGAAGTTTTAGAAAAATTGACGGTGACGGTGTTCAATTTCCATATGTTTTGTGCAGGATTCTTTCGCTCCGGATTCCAATACAAACGACGAGCGGCGCTACAGAGTCGAAAACCGCTCCGACCACCGATATATTGCAGAGCCAGAGTATGCTTGTGGGCGATGTTGCAGTAGACCGAGGAACCGCGTCAGACAACGTCGTCCGCCGAAAAAGAAACTCCAAAAATCACTCCTATTTGCAGACGTTTGAGGGCAACGTCAGTTTCCCGAGCGCCGACATCGTACTGTAGATCGCCCAGATTTCGAAGCGCTCCTGTTAATAAGGCGATCGAACGTCGACTTTGACTTGTAGTTATATAACCAGGTACAAATCCCTGGCCAGTGCCTTTGACGTATTATCAAATTTAAAATTGCGAACTTATATTAGTCTGTTATTTACTATTATTACTATTTATTCAAATCTCGTTTAAAAGTAACACAATCGAATAAACGAATTACTTACCATTAGACGATATGTTCTACAAAAATTGTTCTACGTTGTTTCCATGTGCTAATAAACATGTTTCCAAAACGACGATAAAAATTCTGTCACCAAAAACACCACACCACACGTTCACTGAAAACGATTGCAGGAACCGAGATCTCTGAACGGAGGATTTGCATCACACCAATAAAGATTTTACACGTTGGCTAAGTAATACTGCAACACCCAAGGCACGTGCATGTGTTTTCTCGAAAACAAAAGCATTTAGACTAACAGTCACTTAATAAAAGTCGTTCATTTTCGTATCACCCTTTTCAAGGAACGCACTTATTTCAGAAACACCCTGTATAGGGTCCCGCTTCATAAAAATTGGAAATAAATTGAAAATAATTTTCTTTCTTACTCTTTTGATAGTACCTATATTTCAATGAGTTTAAAACACCGTATGGAAAGAATTGAAACACCTTTGTATACTTATTCTTTTCTTATTCTTATATTTAACCCTCTACTTATTCAGGGTGTGGCGTGTATAATCTATAAAAATTAAACTACAGCTTCCTAACAATATTTGTAATAGAAAAGTCTTATACGAAAAAGTTCTATCTTCGTGCTTTTTTTGTAAATTAAAGTTCATTTATTCAACGAAAATGAAGGTCGACCCTGTGTTATTTATTAAAAACGTTGGAAATGTTTTTATGCGACCCGAGATGCAACCTTATAATTTAAGTCAGTATAATCTAATACTAGTAATACTAAAAGAAGGTTAGGTTGCATTGTCAAAAAATTTGTGCAGTCAACTGATTTTGTATTTGTATTGAATTCATTATTCACTTAATTATTAAATATTAAGCATCGTTCATCGACCCATCGGTGTTAAAAAATGAAAGATTCCAGACAAAAGTTTTTATTTTGTGATTCCACGAAAATGACAGTGTAATTTTCATAAAAAAGTAAAAAATAGGAATAGCGGGCCGATTACATTAAAAACAAGATTCTTATTTCTTACTTTGCTTAATTTTTAGTTCGTGCACAAACTAGTTTTACAATAAACCCAGAAAACAATGCATGGTGCAGCCGGAGAAAATGCACTCGCGTCGACTAAGTTGTACCGGGAACGATGGCCGCAACGTCACCCACCATGTGCAAATACAATCCTACAGTGCGTTCAGTGGCTGTGAGATACGGGAAGTGTTATTCCTCGAGGAGAAGGACGTGGTCAGCAAGTGAATCTTAATGTTGAAGATGCAGTGTTGGAAAATCTTGACGAAGACCCCACAATTAGTACTCGACGACTCGCATAGCAAGTAGGCACCTCATCTCGCATCATACAGGTAGATCGCATCTTAAGGCGCCAGCTGTTGCACCCCTATCATCTGCAACCAGTACAACAGATTTTTCCCCCGGATTGTGGTCAACGAATGCGTTTTTGCAGGTGATTTTTACGGCAATGTGCCAATCAAGTAGACTTTTCTGCTTATGTTTGTGTAACAGATGAGGCGACATTTACCCGTGATGAAGTGAATTTCCATAATATGCACATATGGGCCTATGAAAATCCTCACGCGATTAGGGAAATTCATTGGGGGGTCCCTATTTCTTTGAAGGATGTCTAAATAGACCAACATATGTTCACTTTTTGGAGTACCGGTTGCCTGAATCATTGGACGATGTGGCGTTATAAGTTCGGACACGCATGTTTTATCTTCAAGATGGGGCTCCCCCACGCAGTACTCGAGAAATAACGACACTTTTGAATTAAATGTTTCCTCAGTGATGGATTGGACGCTTTGGTCCTGTGCCATGGCCACCTCGGTCACCCGATCTAACTCCGATGGACTTTTATCTTTGGAGTCACTTGAAGTCATTGGTTTACAATACTCCAATTGCTACGGTGGAAGAATTGCGAAACCGTATACTTGAAGCTGTTGACATAATTAGGGAAATACCTGGAATCTGGGAAAATATTTCCCAAAATTGGGTGCGTCGGTGCCATGTCTATGTATATCCGCGCTAATGGGGATCAATTTCAACATTTTCTCTAGAAATGGTAAGTTTTATTTCATTTTGTTTCATATTTTAATGGAGTTTGTTTAGTGCACGCAGTTGGCAACTACAGATGCTTACGGATGTGGTTTTGTTTGCGAACTCTTGTGGTAACAACAATGCATTTAAGATAGTAATTACTATTAATTACACAGCCCCACAAAAAGTATCGGATCTGGTATTCAGACCCATGTATTTCCATGTATTTTTTCCGCTGAATCCGAATCTGCTTTCAGATTTGGCCCAACAGGTCTGAGTTTTCGGGAAAATTCAAAAAACAGGTCAAAATTCACAAAAAACATCATTTACGATCGACGAAAGTTATAAAAAATCAAATTATTCTACCAGCTCACTAGACGTATGATTTTTCACTCGTTTAGTTGCAATTTATCATCATAGAGTCAGACAAGCTGGTCCAATTTCATTCAAAAACAGAAAATAGATCAAAACGCCATTTTCATGGCATAAATCGTGTTACATCTTTCTATCCAGTCGTTCATGCATAAATACACATATTTATTCATCCACCTGTACCACCTATAAAACCCACCCATCCATATACTTTTATGCTGAGAGATGAGATAACAGCCTAGAAGATTGAGAATGCAATAAGACTTGTAGAATACTCTACTTTCTAAAAAAAAGAAAACGATATCTATAAATCATTCTTATTTTTGTTGCTATAACGTATTCTCTTTTCTTCAAAAGTTCTATGCAAAGGGTTACGTTTTCGTTTATTCGTTTTATTTTTCTTTTCTCTTTTTAACAACCAACAAGTCCCTACATATGCAAAGGGCGAAAATTTCCGAATATTTCTGAGGCGAAATTGAAAGAATTCGATGGACTTCAGATTCGGACATTGTTCAAGGATGCAATATTTTTCACTACAATGAGTAGCGTTGAGAAGAGTGCTTGGACTAGTTTCAAAGTTGTAGCGACAATTTTTTTAGGAAACAACAAGAGTCCTAAATACGAAGAAGTTGTATTAAAACTAATAAAAGACTTCCAAGACCTGGGATGTTTGATGGACTCAAGTTGCACTTCCTTTATTCACATCTGGATTGGTTTCCTGAAAATCGTAGATATTATAGCGAAGAACAAGGCGAACGATCTCATCAGGATATGAAAGTTATAGAATAGCGATATCAAGAAAATAGGATCACAACATGATGGCCGATTTATGTTTGTTCTTAAAAAGAGAAACGAAAAATACAGGGACTAAACGAAAGCGTAACCCTTTGCATAGATCCTTTGAAGAAAAGAGAACAAGTTATAGCAACAAAAATAAGAATGATTTGTAGATATCGTTTTCTCTTGTTTAGAAAGTAGAGTATTCTACAAGTTTTATTGCATTCTCAATCTTCTAGGCTGTTATCTCATCTCTCAGCACAAAAAGTACATGGATAAATGGGTGGATGGGTGGGTTTTATAGGTGGTACAGGTGGATGATAGAAAGATGTATGAATTCATAAATGGGTGGGTGGACAAAAAGATGGAACTAGAACTCTGCAACACGAATTATGCCATGAAAATGGCGTTTTTAAGCATTTTGATCTATTTTCTGTTTTTGAATGAAATTGGACCAGTTTGTCTGACTCTATGATGATAAATTGGAATTAAACGAGTGAAAAATCAAACATCTAGTGAGCTGATAGAATAATTTGACTTTTTATAACTTTCATCGATCGTAAATGACGTTTTTTGTGAATTTTGACCTGTTTTTTGAAATTTCCCGAAAACTCAGACCCGTTAGGGCAGATTCGGATTCAGCGGAAAAAATACATAAAAATACAGGAGTCTGAATACCAGATCCGATGCTTTTTTTTTGTGGGGCTGTGTTATTATAATAATATATATAAAATAGAGAAGAATCCTTCTATCTTTCAACGACGATTTGTTTACGCGGCTGGTCTACAGCACGTAACTCACTGACAGGACCGTTCCAGAGAAAATATTTTGATCCATAATTGAACTTTAATTTACAAAAAAAAAAACGAAAAAATAGAATTTTTTCGTATAAGACTTTTCTATTACAAATATCGTTAGGAAGCTATAGTTTAATTTTTATAGAAAATACACGCCACACCCTGTATAAATTGGACTAAAAAAGTAATAATTAGAAACAAATAGACACTGCGTACGATTTATTTTCCAAGTTCTTGTAGTATTTATTACATAATTATTCTTTAAATTCTACAATAAACGTTCTAATCTGCATAGGTGTTAATAAAATATTTGTGTCAATGTTCTGTGAAGATTTTCTGATCCATTTAAAACTTGGTGAAGATTCTGTGTCTGATAACCAGTCGTTAGCTGCAAGCTTTGTTTCACGTATGGAACTAATGGTGTAGGGCGAAAAGAGATCCTAAAAGCAAATTTAGTATATTATAATTAAATAATAAAGTAGCACTTAGGAAGAGAAAATAAAAAAAAATATTACACAGACCAACAAAATTTAACATTTTTTTGGAAGCAGAAACTTGAATATACAGGGTGAGTAATTAATAATGGTACACAGCTTAATAGCAGATTGTTAATGTCAAAATATAGCGATTGAGCCAAACATGCCTTAATCAATTGTTGCTCATTTTCGTTCTACAGGGTGTTAAAGTTGAAAAAATATTTTCTTTTTATATCTATATTTTAATTATGTATGGACCGATTGTATTGAAAATTTGTAGTTTTACGTTTTTTGAGGTGGCAAATACGAATATGCAAATAGTGTTGGGGTCACGTCTAGGGGGCGCTAGTTGTACTGTCCTGTCAATGTAAAAATATGTCTAAGTTTTATATTTTACATTTTGTATTTTTTAACTAGAAATTGTTGAACTACGTTCAATTCTAAATAAAAAAGGTATACTTGTTAAAAGTCGATAAACGTAACTGTGTTCGAGATACAGACATTTTAAGTTTTTGAGATTCGACGGGAATTAAATTGATTAAGGCATGTTTGGCTCAATCACTATATTTTGACGTTAACAATATGCCATTAAGCTGTGTACCATTATTAATGTCTCACCCTGTATATTTCCGAAGGATTTAGGTGCTTCATACCCATACGGTTTGTGGATTTGGAGTTGGTGGGTTTGGGGTTTGTAATCTTGGAGTTTGTAGGTTCGGGTTTTGTGGGATTAAGGTTTGTGGGTTTAGGGATTGTGGATTTGGGATTTGTGCGTCTGTGGATTAGGAGTTTGTGAGTTTGAGTTCGTATGTATTGAAGGTTTCTGAGTATGAAGCTTCTGAACTGCAATCAACTTTTTGACATCTAAGGGATCCTTAGTAGAATTTCGCATATTAAGAAACTGAGAAATTTAAAAATTTCAACATGTGATATCTCAACAAAAAAAAAAAATATATTTGCGCAAACTCAAAGGCATTCGAAAGAGGGAGCCTTGTACTTTTAAATTATATGTATTTTTTTTTTAAGAATAGATGGCATTCCTACATAACCTCAAACATGACGAAAAACAATGTTTTTTGAACTTTTAGGTTAGGATATCTCAAAAACCTGACGTGATAGAGCAATTCTGCGGCCAGATTCGGATTCAGCGCACCAAAATCCTTCGGGAATACATATTAGTGTGTCTGCTTCTTGACCCTTGTTGACCTGTGTTATCGGGAAGCAAAAAGAATAAAGTAAATAGATCAGGAAATAATATAATGGATAGGAGTAACGGGAAAAATATGTAATACTGAAACAACTATTTGAAGAAAGAAATTCATAAAGAAATAAGAGATTTGTAAAATAATAATGGAAAAGCAATAATAAATATATGTGTACCGAGAAAACATGAAAGATATATAAAGCAAAACTACAAAAACAACTACAAAGATAGGCAGAATGATCCATTTTCAAAGTTAGTTCATTTCATAATATAGTGAGACACGAATTCAAATCAAGTCGCCATGCTTTCGCGATAAATGAGACTTAAGACTTTAAGAGTTTAGTTAGAAGTAGAATATGGAGCGTTGGCCAACTATTCAACGTTTCTCTGCGGTTGAAATTTCTTCTAAGATTAACAATTCTATTGTAACCACCCAGCGTCTATTTCAGTGTAACTTTAATTTAAATCCCCGAGATCCAAGTCGAATAACAATTAGAAAGTGAGTAAAAAAGAGTTTCGCAGTACCTACTGCTTCATGTGCCAGAGAAAAATCAAAAGGAAGAACTTGTTCCGTACGCACACTTGAAAATGCTTTAAGGGTAAGGGCAGCTGTGTTACATCCTAAACATTAGCAACAACAAGCATTAGCACTCAATATTTCAAACCGTATCGCCACATTCTGAAAGACTTACATTTCCATCCCTACAAAATTCAAATCGTACGAATGTTCTGCTACAAGATTTTGGAACACGTGTTGACTTTTGCGAGCGTTTCGGTGCGTTGCTGATAATGAAGTTCATCTTCATCTGTCAGATTATTATTATTTCGTTATTAGGCGACGGAGAATCCCCAGCAATTGCAAGAATTACCACGTCATAGCGTCTCTGCTTGTGATTTCTTTTTATGGGGCTACTTAAAGTCAAAATTGTTTTCTAATCGATCGCAAACTTTGAACGAACTGAAAAATAATATTCGGAAGGAGATTAACGCAGTCCCAATTCAAATGTCGTCGCGGGTGAAGCAAAATTTTCATATTGGATTTCAAAGGTGCCAGCAGCGTGGAGTGAGTCATTTAAATGATGTAATTTTAAAAAAATAAAATGTCCTTGTTTTCTCAAAAACCTTTTGTTTGGTTTTTGATTAAAAATTTAGTCACTAATTAAAACAACAAAATTTAAAATGTATGCGTCATTCATCCCGACCCTGTATAAACCAGGAAACAAATAATAAAGTGGATATGAATATTACATAATTGATGAACCATTTAATACTCCCGCTGCCAATATCTCCGAAATGAAGATATTTATTTTAGTTTCGGAAACTGGGGTTGTTAGGTCCCTCGAATAGCTTCAAATTGCAGTTAGAATTGTTAGTTCAAATCTTTCTGTATAGTTTTAGTTCCGGAAACTGGGGTTGTTAGGTCCCTCGAATAGCTTCAAATTGCAGTTAGAATTGTTAGTTCAAATCTTTCTGTATAGATGGCGTGGCGATACTAAAAATTTTTTTGTCCCTGGAATGTGAAAATGCAGTCCATCTGAAAGATCGTAATTTTTATAATATAAAGTTTTTCCCAATACTTACTTATTTTCGAGACATGTCGACTTCAATATGCAACGTACGATGTAACACGAAAATCTATTATTTTACTTAAATCACACTGAGACAAAATATTATTTTAAAATATTGTTATAATGGCTTTATTCGCACCACATACTAACTAACAAACAATAAATTATAAAAAAAACAAATGATCAACTACATACAAAAATGTACAATGGTAAATCTTATAACTAGTATAGTTAAATTGAAAGACGCAAGCTGATAAAACTGTAACTATTGGAAAATTAATATGTGTAATGTCACGTTTTATTTTAAACAAATGACATGAGCCACATATAACTGAATTTTTTAATGATATTTTTATAAAATACGGTTCATCTCTGCCCCTTATAAAATTTACCATCGTACAATTTTTTTCTGTAGTTGATCATTTGTTTTTTTTATAATTTATTGTTTGTTAGTTAGTATGTGGTGTATAAAGCCATTATAACAATATTTTAAAATAATATTTCGCCTCAGTGTGATTTAAAGAAAATAATAGATTTTCCTTTTAGATCATACAATACATATTTAAGTCGACATGTCTCGAAAACAAGTAAATATTGGGAAAAACTTTAAATTACAAAAATTACTTAAAATTTAACGATCTTTCAAATGGACCGTATTTCCACGTTCCAGGAATCAACAAATTTTTTAGTATCGCCACGCCATCTATATGGAAAGATTTGAACTAACCATTCTAACAGCAATTTGAAACTATTCGAAGGACTTAACAACCCCAGTTTCCGGAACTAAAATAAATTTCTTCATTTGGGAGACATTGGCAGCGGGATTGGTAAATAGCACACCCTGTATATCATCTACACTCGTTCCATATTACGACACCAAAACAGCTGGATCATTTCTCGGTAGTCCACATATGATATACTGATTAGAACTAATAAGTTCGAAACCGGTATATGTCTGGGGATTCTGCTGACCAATGATTTTATCTGTTTGCTAGATGTTGTAGGTGTAATCCAACTATGGTCGGGGCATGTTATCATCAGAGTAGTTGTTTTCCGCAATATCAGTTTAAAGAAAAGAATTATTTTGGAAATGGTCCAGTTGAATACTCAATTTTACAACAAACTCTTACATTTTTCACAGTGAACGCATTTTAGAATTAAGCAAGAACATAACTTTTTGCTTAATAATGAATTCCGATAACCATGTTTTGTATAGATACAAGTTGTTTTTTACTTAAAAAAATAAAAAAATTATTGACAAAAACATAATAAAAATATACTCACTGCGATATCCACCGTGACTCCCTTTGAATAATTAGGATCTTCTGTCTTTGCAATGATATTTTCCAACCTAAGAATATATGATCTGTCTTTCCATGGTTGTAAATTTAAAATATTTACGTTATCCGGAAGTGCAGTTTTAAGTCCAGTCCACTAAAAATCAAATTATCAATAATTGCAATAGATAAAATAACATCTCCAGATACACATACTTCGAAATTGATTTTCTTTGAAACGGTATTCACATCCCACTCATCTGATGTTGCATCTCCAACTAAGATCCAGGGTTGAAGCAATTTCTTCAGTGCCAATTCACGTTCCTGAACCGATGTACTCTTTTTCGTTGTACCTTAGAAGTATTAAGTTACAGTTCAGTTGAATTTTATTAAAAGAATAAACTTAAACGATGGTTAAAAAAACAATTTCTATTCTATCAAAAATTAGAGGTTTCACATCACATTCAGTACAACAGAAATGACTCAAAGATAAATATGAAGTTTCTATTTACTATTTCGAGTACACTGTTGTATTTTATCACAGTTACGTACCAATGTGGAAGCAGAAAAGAAGGGTAAATACTTGCCATTGCTCGTTGCTGAACCCAAAATTAAATAATGTTGTCCTCTAACAGTTAAATATTTTCCATATTCCATTTCCTGTAAAGGTTCCTCAACTCCTTTGTAATCATCCTTTAATGTTCTTCTATGAATCTGTGACGACATATAACATTCAGTAATTCTAATGCATGTTTGCGGATTGTTTAACATTCTATATTATATATCGATATGACTGTTTGCAAAGTAAAAAGTATTTTTAAAATGCATTCAACAATTAAAACTTCTCTAATCGTAATATGTAATATTCTCAAAGATACAGGATAATTTTGCACTAAATTTACAGCCTGTATACAAGTTAATAAATTGTTTAGTATCTCTGACACTATGCTTATAGTCCAATTAACTAAGCCTTTAAATCGAAATTTTGTCAACTTGGCTGAATTTTTGATATGAGTTAGTTTAAGGTATATTATAACAATAAGTGAGAGTAATTTTTTGTTCAACCCCCGGCCAAGGGTGGAAAAAGATAAAACAAAGGGCTTTTTCAAGATAACTCAAAAAGGGTAAGAGCTAGAAAAAAAGTTTTTCATGAAAGTTGTAAAGCAGACAATTCTACATAAAAATGGTCTCTTAGCTTTTTCTTGTACTATTAAAATTAACAGAGTTAGGGAGGCTAGAAGTTAAGGGAAGATTTCAGAAATTTAATTTTGTTAAATCATTAAAATTAACGATTAAAAATTTGATTTTTTGTTATAACTTTCTTATTAAAAATTAAAAAATATATCTATTTCTCTGAAAAGAAAAGTTACATATTTTAGAGCAGATTGAAAAAAAAATTACAAAATTCAATCATTTTTCTGTTTGTTATGATTTTTTTTAAATTTCTGAAATCTTCCCTTAACTTCTAGCCTCCCTAACTCTGTTAATTGTAATAGTACAAGAAAAAGTTAAGAGGCCATTTTTATGTAGAATTTTTTCTAGCTCTTACCCTTTTTGAGTTATCTTGAAAAAGCCTTTTGTTTTATCTTTTTCCACCCTTGGCCGGGGGTTGAACAAAAAATTACTCTCACTTATTGTTATAATATACCTTAAACTAACTCATATCAAAAATTCAGCCAAGTTGGCAAAATTTTCGATTTAAAGGCTTAGTTAATTGGACTATTAGAACAGTTAGAACGAACTAGATCCACATTTATTTTTTCTATATTCTGTATTTTAAATTAAAAAATATATTTGCAGTTGATTTATAAAACAAATAGCAGATAATTGATAGGATCTTAACTTTTCACGATAATAGATTTGCATTTTATTTTGACACAGCGTCAGATCATAGTTGTATCTACAAGAATAAAAGTGATTTTGAATTTGTCATACCAAATGCTGTATTTCTTCAGTTACGTTCTATCAAACCCCGATTCTTTCTTTAATTTCCCATCAAACACCCTATTTCAAGGGTCGGCAACTGGCGGACCGCGGTCCAGGTCCGGACCGCGGAAGGTCAAATACTGGACCGCCAAACATTTTTTTAAAAATTATTTAAAAAATGTTTTTTACGTTTAAGTGCCAATCTTATCATTTTTTCTAGTATTTACAATTGTGTGAGTGTTTTGAGTTCTTAATGGTTAGTAAGCAGATTAAAGAATCCAAATTAAAATAAAAAATAAGAAATGTGGTTTTTTTCTGGACCTCGTTAAACATTTTCAAAAGTATTCGGATCCCACCTAAAATTATTTGCCGACCCCTGCCCTATTTCTTTTGCTCCGTTTGTCAAATTAAATTATTTTTCTTTTGTTACAGGCACTAGAAGGGTTAATCTTCTTAAGACATTTGCGAATTTCCCTTATTTTTAAGAATCAGCAAAAATACAATTAAATTGGAAATATATACAAACGACCAATCTAAAATTTTTAATTCAGTTTCCATTTATTTTACAAAGAGACGTAATTTTTTCTTAGAGCGGTTTGAATATACAAATGATTCTTTCAGAGCTTTACTTTTTTTGAAAATTGATAAATTAACTATTTTCAATGAAATATCATTTATATTATTTTTTTGAGAAATAGTATAGGTACACTGTAAAAAAATCGCTGTGAGTGAAACCTACAGGGTGGGCCACCAGTAACGCCTCGGTCGCTAGTGACCAAACGGCAAATGTTACAGAAACCTGTTTAAGTGGATACGTGTAGGTTGATTACGGCTACATTTTAAAAATATTTTGAAATATACAGGGTGTCCAGGAAAAGCGTACCATAACAAAGTTATGTTTTTTTTAATGGAACACCCTGTATTTTACTGCATTTTTGAAAGCACCGTAAAAAAATAGGTGAACTTTATTAAAGGTTCTGCATACCTAGGACTTACAGTTTGTGAGATATTTCAATTTTAGTGAAAATGCAGGCATAGCGTAGAAATTTAATATTAGCAATAAAAAAATAATTTTAAGGAAGCAGCTTTGGAGGGTCTATTTTAGATCCTTGAAGTTATAAATTGTTATATTTGTCGTCACTTAGTATTATACAGGGTGTTCAAAAAACTGCTGAATACTTCTCTCAACTTTAAACAGCAATAACTTGGTTATTTTAAATGGAACACCCAGTATATTTTTACTTTGGGAGTTGGGAAATTTAAAACTCTTTCAAACTGTGTATAGGTTCCCTATACCTATCTCTAACGGTATTGGAGATATTTGTGCCGTTTCGTTTTTTATCGATTTTTTTTGTAAGATGTATCCACGTGTCTTTATCGAGGTCTTTACTGAATTGGTTTGGGTTCTTCTTGATGACGTCTCTTTAAATATATTGAGAAAAATGAGGATGCAATTAGATGGCGCACCTGCAAATTTTTCATATTCAGTGAGAAATTATTTAAATCGAAAATTTAGTAATAAATGGATAAGTAGGAATGGTGCATGTCAGTGGCCACGTAGGTGTCCAGACCTCACCGTAATGGACTTCTTTGTTGCGAGCTATATAAAAAATCTTGTATACAATGTTCCACCTATTACTTGCGATGATATTGGAGGGAAGGATTAGAGATGCATTTGCGTGAGAATATCATTTGAAGATAGAATAAGATGCTGTATTCAAGAGAATGGTTATCAATTCGAACATCTATTAAAATTTTTCTTTGTTTCTTCTAAAAGTAAAATTTTCTTTAATAAATATTTTTCATGTTCATAAATAATTCAGTTACTTACTACAAACATATTTATACAAAATTAATAACTTTTTATAATTATTCGGCTTATAAAATAATATTTTTTATTAGAAAACTTTTTTGAATATTTTCATGATAATGATAAAAGGAACTTCTACTTTTAGAAAAAACAAAGAAAAATTTTAATTGATGTTCGAATTGATAACCATTCTCCTGAATTCAGCATCTTATTCTATCTTCAAACGATATTCTCACGCAAATGCATCTCAAATTCTTCCCTATACCTGTAATATCATCGCAAGTAATAGGTGGAACATTGTATACAAGATTTTTTATATAGCTCGCAACAAAGAAGTCCATTACGGTGAGGTCTGGACACCTACGTGGCCACTGACATGCACCATTCCCACTTATCCATTTATTACTAAACTAGCTTCTATCCGCGCTTTGCTCGCATTGAAGCCATTAAATAAGTATCAGAGATCAAGGGTAAAATCACGAATTAACCACAAAAATGACACCTAACCTGAAACAATAAATACAGAAAATCTTTAGTAGGGATAGGGATTTTCGATTTAAATAATTTCTCACTGAATATGAAAAATTTGCAGGTGCGCCATTTAATTGCTTCCTCATTTTCTCAATATATTTAAAGAGACGTCATCAAGAAGAACCCAAACCAATTCAGTAAAGACCTCGATAAAGACACGTGGATACATTTTACAAAAAAAAATCGATAAAAAACTAAACGGCACAAATATCTCCAATACCGTTAGAGATAGGTATATAGAACCTATACACAGTTCGAAAGAGTTTTAAATTTCCTAACTCCCAAAGTAAAAATATACTGGGTGTTCCATTTAAAATAACCAAGTTATTGCTGTTTAAAGTTGAGAGAAGTATTCAGCAGTTTTTTGAACAGCCTGTATAATACTAAGTGATGACAAATATAACAATTTATAACTTCAAGGATCTAAAATATACTCTCCAAACCTGCTTCCTTAAAATTATTTTTTTATTGCTAATATTAAATTTCTACGCTATGCCTGCATTTTCACTAAAATTGAAATATCTCACAAACTGTAAGTCCTAGGTATGCAAAACCTTTAATAAAGTTCACTTATTTTTTTACGGTGCTTTCAAAAATGCAGTAAAATACAGGGTGTTCCATTTAAAAAAACATAACTTTGATATGGTACTCTTTTCCTGGACACTCTGTATATTTCAAAATATTTTTAAAATGTAGCCGTAATCAACCTACACATACCCACCTAAATAGGTTTCTGTAACATTTGCCGTTTGGTCCCTAGCGACCGAGACGTTACTGGTGGCCTACCCTGTATAAAGGTATGGAGTGGATTTTCACTTAATATTGAGCAATTTGATCATTTTAGTCATATTTGAACGAAAACTGAGTACTCTCACTCAAATATAGGTACCCGTTAAACAAATTCTGTAAAAAATGTCATTAATGAGTGACCCCACCCCATTCTATGGTTGTCGTGCGTTGTCTTTGTCTATTCCCATCGTCCCCATTGGGTCATCTTGTGTCATGGTGTATGGAGTGTGGTGCTGGACAAGTGTCCGTTAATCTGGTTATTTTGGTGAAAATTATGTTTAAATGTAGTGGTTTGATTACAACTATTAAAAACAAGAATACAGGGTGAGTTTTTTCGATGTTTAGTGTAGGGATCTGGAAAAGTAGCAGAGATATAAAAAAGCTTAAATGAGGAAATATATGCAGTTTTATGATCCTAATTAAATTATTTTATTTATTTTTTGAAAAAACGTCATGGCAGACATCTAGTCATTTGGAAAAATCTGAATTGGGTCAATTCCTTCAGATGCGTTTAGCTTCGTTGCTATTTATTTTTAAATTACAATATTTCAGGTTTTTGCAGTGTTAAAAAGACAGTGTGAGCAAATTAATTTGTCAGTGTTGCGAGAAACAACTACTCCGAGGGCAATATACCCCTACTGGCATTAAATTATACCCGCAACACATAGTGCAACAGCTAGGATCTTTTGCCAGTTTAACCCACCAGATACAGACCGGTTTTGGACTTATTAGTCTTCCATCAGTGTGCCATAGGTGAGACAACCGACGAACGATCCAGCTGTTTTGCGTCGTATCATCACGACAAGGAAATACATTGTACGCGGGAGCGCAAATGGCAACTTGTCGTGCTGATGGAGCCATTTGCGCTGATGGGGACTAATAAGTCTGAAACCGGTCTGTGTCTGGTGGGTTAAACTGGCGAACGATCCTAGCTATTGCACTAGGTGTTGCAGGTATAATTCAATGCCGATAGGGGCATATAGCCCTCGAAGTAGTTGTTTCTCGCAACAATGACAAATGAATTTATTCACACTGTCTTATTAACACTGCAAAAACCTGAAACATTGTAATTTAATTTTTTTTTTTTGTAAAATAATTAGCAACGAAGCTACACGCATCTGAAGGAATTGATGGAATTCGAATTTTTCCAAATATCTAGTCAGCCATGACGTTTTTCAAAAAATAGAAGTCACATTTAATAAGGATCATAAAACTGTACATCTCCTCATTTAAACTTTTTTGTATCTCTGCTACTTTTCCAGATCCCTACACTAAACATCGAAAAAAATTCCCTTGTATATTAAGTTACATACACTTACGTATCTGCACTGTACAATGTATGTTATGGTAATCTATTCGTCCGATCAGTTAACCAATTTCTCTTTAATCGATACATAAAATATTATCTCTAAAACAGATCTGTGTGATGATGATATTTAAATTAAAATTTAAAGAGAAATGGTGCAAAACTAGGTACTCCAGATATTAATTAAATCCAGATATTAATTAAATGTCCCCCTTGGAAATTTTAATAGTACAAAATTACTCAATAATACTTAAATTTAAATCATGTTAGAGAAAAGTCAACTCATAATTGGTTTTATATACTCGGAATAGAATAAAAAATCACTTGATAGTTAGCAGAAACTCGGATTTGACTAAAATTCACTCACTTCTGTTGCAATAGTTTTACTCATAAAATTTTAGTTGTACTTATACTAACAGAGTGAAAATTTCTCTCAATGGGGTGTAGACAGAAATTGATACATTATTGAGTAAAATTGAGTGAATTTTTTTTTACAGTGTACAGTGTACATGGCTAATATAGTAGTCATTTCTATGAAAAATTCTTGTTAAATAAGAAAATTGGCAAATATCTAAAAAAACTACTCTTGAAATGCCTATATTAATAATAAAATAATTTTCAATTTTACTACAGAATGATTGGATTTAGAAAACAGAGATGTCATATCTGATCCTGTAGTTCTGGTAAAATAATGGATTGGACACTATCTCAGTGTTTAATATTTATCTGCAGACCAATTATGTGACCAAAGTTTATACTAACCATTAGCTCGATTTCTCCTCCCCACAAACTGCTGCCTCCCTGAGACCTATCATTCAGAATGGCGAGCTGAAGATTTTTATCTTCGTCTTTTATAACTATTTTCGATGTAACAGGATAGTAATTTGATGTAACTGCTTCGAAGCTTGAATTATTATACGGGTAATGATTTCTCTTTCTTTCAATCATTTCCCTTCCATTCGAATCAGTGTAGAAAACCTCATTGTCGAAGTCGTCGATATAAAATCTAGTTATAACCTCTTTTCCGTGGTTGTATTCAACGTCACTGAAATAAATGTTGTTTACAACAAGCACAGTTATAAATACATATCTAATCATTTGCAACAATACAAACAACACATAGATATCATTGAAATACAATACCTATTGAGTGGAAAATCTATATTATAAATAACAAGTATTTAGTTTATTAGTTGAGTACCTATTAGATTATCTTTATTGTTAATTTTTTTATCTTTATTTGGGATTATTAAGGTTAAGTGAATTCATAAAAAACAACTGCTGTGTAGTAGCAAATATCAGCATCTAATCTAATTACGTATTAACTTTGTGTCTATTATATTATTATATGATTGCTATTATCTAAACAAGATATGTTAATATAGGATGTCACTGTTTTACAGGAAATATTTTATCATCCGCATTCCCACAACTATTTTTGATTTAAATTTATTCATTAGTTTCAGTATAAAATATCGTTACGATTTCACAGTAATATTATTTCTGTGTAAAAATTTTATATCTTCGTATCACATTCAAACACACACACAGTTATCTACAGGGTGTAGCAGCGACATTATGATAAATTTAACGTTTTTTTTTCTCACATAACACCAAATAAAACACAAACATATATTTTTTTCTTAAAACAATTCCTGAGGCTCTTTAAAAACTGAATGTGAAACACAGACTATTAGTCAAGAATTACTGAAAATATAGACTTAATGTTGATACAATAAAATTTGGGCGTAAACTAACAAGTGATAGTTGAATTAGGGATTTGGAAATTTTATCTGTCGAAGAAATGTCGTTTGATGCTGAAGGGAATCTGCTGTCACATATTATGTAATTTTAGTAATTATGAATCTCTTAAAACAGGAATTTAACTTTTAATCAAATTACGTATTTGAAAATTATGTAATTAAATTACCCAAAGATTCACGTCGTCCAAATAATCAAACGTATTAAAAATAATTTAGGTACTTACCAAAAAGTAAAAGTCAGTAATTTTTAAACGCACAAGTACAAAACAAGCTACAACATAATCCTCTTATCAGGTAGAGGCGTATAATCCAAGAAATGGATATACACATACGCCTCTACGTGATAATAAAGATGATATGCTCAAAATGTCCACTACCATTTTCAATGCACTCACGACACCTTCGAATCCAATTTTCGCGCGCTCGCTGGAAAACACCTCAAGAAAAGGAAATAGTGGTACGCAAAAAACACTCCGACATGGTCGAATTCAGATACCAACTGACTTGCGTATTGATGGTTGCTGGACATTTTTTTAATACCTCGTGTTAGTAAACTGCTGCACCGTTGTCACATTGTTGGATATGAATTTTATCGAATGCATTCTATGCACGCAGTTATGTCAATATTCCTTAATTAATCGAACTTTTCTACATCAAATTGGAGATTTTGATAATTTTTTTGTCGGAAATGGTCGAGTTTAGAACCCTTATCGTATAAGGTTTTTTTGTTTACTGTAATGTAATATTCGTCTGTTAAAATTAAGGCAGTCAAATTCCTAACACCCTGTAGAATGGCATATAGAGTAAATGGCCTCCACGGTTTTGTTGGCATATATGCACTCTTTTATAGATATTTTCCATGACCGTTTAGCATAAATGCAGCTCAGTTTCCTCCTTAAAGGCATGGGTGGTCGTGAGCTTGTTGGCATAAACCTTAGACTTCTAAAAACTCCGAAGAAAAAGGTCCAACGGCATTAAATCGCATGATCTATGCACCCAATTTTGATCACCAAAATGGGAAATTACACGACCAGGAAATGACTCATGCAGTAATTGGATTGTTTATCGGGCTGTATGGTATGTGGCAGCCCCTTGTTGAAACCACATGTCGTCTACATCCATATCTTGCAATTTAGGCACAAAAAACTGGATTATCATGTCGCGATAGCGCACCATTAACTGTTATTACCTGACCAGCCTCATTTTCGAAGAAGAATGGTCCGATGATGCCTCCAGCCCAAAATTAACACCAAACAGTGACACGTTATGGATATATTTGTTTCTCAACAATCACTCGTGGATTTTCTGAAGCACAAATACAATTTTGCCATCAAGATGAAAATGACCCTCGTCCCTGAAGATAATTTTATTCTAAAAATCAACATGCACTTGTTGTTCCATAATGCATTCAATGAACTTTCTCTGCTCTGCGAGGTCAGTCGGCTTCAATTCTTGAGTTAATTGAACTTTGTAAGAATGAAAATGCAAATCTTTCGTGAAAATACGTTGTAAAGGGCTTCTCAAAATTTTCAATTCCTGACCACGGTGCTGAATTGATGTTTCTGGACTCTCAGCAACATTTTCACGAATTGCTTCGATGTTTCGTGTTGAACTACTTGTTGAAGGATGACCAGAGTATTTAAGATCACTAATTGATCCAGTCTTCCTGAATTTTTCAATTAATCTCTTCACAGTTGAAGAAGCTAAATCACTATTCCAACCATTTTGTTTATATGAAAATTGCGAACTGTAGCTGCCAAACTTTCATTACTTTTAAAATATTGCTCAACAATGAAAATGCGTTGTTCTTTCGTATAGCTCTTCAATTTTAATAACCTTGAACTGTCAACTGTCACGCTGATGGAACAGAAGTTTTGATTGAAAATAGTCTACCCAAATTTGTAAAAGAAGCTTCCTTAAAGTGTTGTTTGTTTCCCCTATAGTTAAAATCTTTTGGACCTATTCTAATTCTAGCGTCACTGATTAGTCTTTGAGTTTGAAGTCTATATCTTCAATGATTCTTGAGTAATTAGTCCAAGATTTAATGGATATTATTTGATTATTTGTAGCTTCTTAAGAATCATTTCTAAACAATATTTATTAGATTTTTTCTTGTTTTAGGATGTAGAATCTAGTTATAAAGTTTAACAATCAAATTTTAGGGTGCCCTATCTTAATAATGGCTGTGTTCAGCGAATTGTCGGACTAGTTCGGTTAAACTTCTTTAGTCAAACCGCCTTTAGTAACTGTATTAAAATCTGCCCAATAATCCTAATCAGCTTATTGGACTGACCAACGAAATATTTGTCCGCTGAACGATTTTGACCGGTCCGACCATTCGCTGAACACAGCCAATGTCAGCTAATAAACGGGAATATAAGGTTTCTGCTTCATTAGTCGCGCAATCATGTCATTGTTCTTAAGAGCGTTGATAGAATTCCTTCTATTTAAATATATTTAAGATGGCATAATTTTTTAAACAGATAAAGAAGTACTATCAAGTTTTATTGTAATCAAAATATTTGGCAGGCTAATGGGACACGCTGTATTAATACATGCTACATGTAAACGTTTTAATTGAAGTAGTACTTTGCATTATAATATTATCATTTAATATTTAGCATAATATCTGAAAAAATATTTATCATACTTACATAGTTTCGTTATCAAGTGGACCAACCACCCAATCAAATTCAATAAAGTTATTATCCTCCCCTTTATATACCCTTATAGTTTGTGTTAACCATTTATTGAAAACTTGAATAACTTCATCAACTAAGTTCCCATTGTAGTAAGTTACTGGCACCTTTTCGTCGGTAGTCTTATTCACTTGGCCATTTTCAAAATAATTTATATTATATGCATCCGAACCATTCACTGGTCGAAATAGGTAAGCCCCAGAGGCAATGGAGTCTCCCGATCCGTTGTTACTAATGTATGCTAGGAATTTTTGACTGATTTTAACAGTTTTGTTATTCATTGTAACAGAGTCTAACATATTGTTGCTGTCCAGGGTAAAGCTAACACTCTGCAAAAAGTTACTGGTAACCAGAATGTAAAATACTAAAGAATAGTTGAAAAATAGGAATTGTTTAATGGTATTGTTATAAGAAAGCTTAAATAAATCACGCAACTCCACAAAAGAAAAAGTGGGTTGAACTGTGGATCAGATCAGTATATCCCCATTGTAGTACATTGACCCGCTGAATCCGAATCTAAAGTAAGAATACTCAGATTAGTTCGTTGTTAGAGCCCAATATCAAGATACTCCTGTAGAAAGCGGTTTTCGAGATTTCAAGCTGACTTGATTATTATAACCCCGTAGTTTCGTAACGCCATAACCTCCGTAACCCCGTTTTCCGAGATGTGCGAGAGTATACATACAACCACAAACCTCTGTAGGAACTTAGATCTCATACATCAGGAGAGCAAAACTGCATGACAGCGAGTTGACAGGCTTGCAAAACCCAATAACCTTGTAATTTTAGGTGTGCTATGTATGACCACGAAATTGTGAGTCTGTAGCCCTGCTATAAATAAATTCGTAATCCCTTAACCCGGAGCTTGCAAGCGCCTGTAAACCATGATCTGAGGCATACAGATTTGTATTACACTCACCCGGGCGTTTTCTCCTTGTGCTTACACTGAAAGGACATAATAAGTTTTTGCTATCAAAATGGTTCAAATAACAAGTTGTGGGGTTATAAGGTTATGAACTTATGGAGTTAAAAGGGTCATGATGCAATTAGATCTTGAATTCTAAGGTTTTTCCAATAACTGACTCGCAAACCGTTTTCTAGAGGAGTTTCTATGTGTTTGGATTAAAACACGAAGTGATCAGGGAATTCCGGTTTTAAATTCCAATTCAGGATACAAAATGTTATCGGATACTCTGTTCTGGTTCATGAACCAGTCCATATTTTGGTGGAACAGTGTCTTTTCAGTGGTCAAATTTAGCCAGTTTTGTTTGGACGCACACCATTGGTCGAAGTGTCGTGCGTCCGTTCGGCCGAGCATTTAAATAGTCACTGAACGCTTGCTCTGGACAGATAGAGTCAATTCGTGTCGACGTACGACGGTCGACTTTTAACTTTGACTTTAACTTTCATATCAACCGCCCTACCAGGTCCCGTTTATTTTTGCTTTGCTATTTTATTCTCTTGACTGAGGTATATCAGGACTCAGTTGTCTGAGCACCGGCTAGACCATTGACTCCATAAAAGAATTCGTCAACAAACCAAGGGAAAACAGGTGCAGGTGGTATAACTTCTCTTATTTTGGGAAGTCAGTTATAAAAGAATTCGAACAGTCTGTAATATTTATTGCAGACTATAAACTAATAATTCGGGTAAGCGCATGCCAGAACGAAGGGATTTCATAGGTGGAAGTTAGTATTTACGGCTGCTTTTGCCCACAGAAAAAAGAATAGGAGTGACTCGCCGGGAGGCCTAGCACAGGGTGAAGTACCGATACCTACCCCTAACCCCAGAAAAGCCAAGACACTGCCATTCGTTCCAGCGACGGGGTGCGACCATAAGACGCCCTGTAGGAAGCGAAGGAAGCAAGAAGAAGACGATTCCATAAAAAAAACTTGCTTCGTGCTCCGCTGGCACGACGTGAGTCGGGTACGTACGGCCAGACCCCGTGTGGACTGAGACGGCTGAAGAAGCGCATCGCGTTCGCTTTCAAAAAAAGGATTCTCGCTGACTTCGTAGCCACCGGCTCAGCAGAGGCCCCCTTACACCCTGCCTCAGGAGAAGACCACCATCGCGAAATCAGTAGAACATGGAGAAGCATCGAAGAAAATACAAAGAGAAAAAACCCTGGGTGACTGTAATACAAATCTGTAAGTCCCTGATCATGGGTCTACAAGACCTTGCTCCAGATTAAGGGGTTACGAAGGGTTTCATGGTTGTATATCTTTGCGCACCAAGGGTTATAAGGTTATGGGGTTATTGGGTTGTGGAAACAGTTACGTAGTTTCGGACCCCTGACGTACGAGATTAGTGTTCCTATAAAGTTTCGCGGTCATGCATGGTTAAGAAGTTACGAAGTTGTGGGATTATTGGCTTAAGGAAGCCTGCCAGCCCACAATAATGTAGCTCCGGAGTTTCATGGTTCTACACTCTTTTTAAAGGATTATAGGGTTATGGTGTAAATAAATCGCGAAATCGTGTGTTTTTCCAATCACTGACTATTTGAATCAACTTGAAATCTCGAAAACTGATTTCTAGCGAACTGTCTAGATGTTAAGAGTCAAAACACGAATTGATCTGGGAATTCTGACTTTAGATTCGAATTCTTAGGGTCTTGTACTATAGGATACAATAGTCTGCACATGACAAATATGTATATCCTCAAATATCTCCAAACGCTCTATGCACGATCTGCAAACGCAGTCAACCGCTAGTACAAACTTGCCATTTTTTACGAATATATAGAAATTACGAATTCCTATGAAAATTAATCTTACTGATATGATCGTTGTAGCAGACATCGCGTACATTTTATTGGTGTGTCGTTTGCATGACTTTAGTGAATATTTGTCAAATGAAGACATGTTCTCTAATGTAACGATACGCAGCATCCACACGATATGGCATTTGTTTGTATTTGACGTCAAGAGACTACATCATCTGAAGCCGGCTTTAAAAAGTTGAGGACCTTGTTGTTTAAATTAGCTGAAAACTTGTTATTAAAGTTGCTTGAATTTAATCAAAGAAGCTGTTCAGGGTTCATAAATTACCATTTGGGCGAATATTTGAATTTTGAAGAATTAACTGTTTAATTAAACACAAAAAATGAATTTCGCTATTCAGTCATTCGTACGAAAAAATTAATCTATTTGAACTACCAATAATAACACAAGTTTACAAATTCGGGTCAACTTTTGGACCCGAGCAGATGAGAACGATTCTTAACGTTATTTGGTGCCCTGAACTCAGATCTTCAATCCGTGTGTCAAGATTGGTTCTAGTTTTCGAGTTCGCGTATGGTGGCGGTACTGTGCTCTTATAACGGCTATCAGCTGACCACGTTGCATCGAACATCTTTTGGAACTTGTTTTTGTACTGTGATTGGTGATTGTGCTTCGGAACGTGTGAAAATGCAGAGAAAACGTCGCAGAGTCGATTCAAAGTGTTTTTGTTACGTTTGTGGATGTTATATGCTCGGAAAACGTGGAAAATTCATAACAAATGCACTCAAAGATGCGTGTTTGCAGTACTTTGGTTTTGCTGCATGGGTACCGAAATTGTTTTGTAACGCGTGCAGAACAAAGCTGTACAAGTGTGAAAANAGTGTTTTTGTTACGTTTGTGGATGTTATATGCTCGGAAAACGTGGAAAATTCATAACAAATGCACTCAAAGATGCGTGTTTGCAGTACTTTGGTTTTGCTGCATGGGTACCGAAATTGTTTTGTAACGCGTGCAGAACAAAGCTGCACAAGTGTGAAAATATGTACTCTTCATTTTTGTGCCAACGTTATGGAGAGAACAGAAAAATCACGTAGATGATTGCTGCTTTTGCTCAATGAATGTCGTCGGTATAAATGCAAAGAAACTAGCACGGTATGAATATCCGGAATTACCACAAGATTGGAGCTAGAATGTCTCTCAAGATACATTTTCTGCATTCACATCTTGATTTTTTCCCACAAAACTTGGGCGTCACGAGCGACGAGCAAGGAGAGCGGCTACATCAAGATATAGCGAAAATCGAAAGGCGATACCAAGGATTTTGGGACGAAGGCATGATGAGCGACTACTGTTGGACCCTAAAGTGTGAAACAGATCCCAAGCAATATAAAAGACTCAGTTCAACCTCTGTTCATTTCTGATTTATACTTTTTAATTCAATAAATGGCGGTTAATGGTCAAAAATAGTAAAATAATGAATTTATTGAATATTTCGAAAACTAGAACCAATTTTAAAAAACGGGCTGCTGATTTGGATTCAGTCCCCGAATTTACCTTATAAACAGCTTTTGGTTGCTCAGGTCCAAAACCGTGTATACTTGTGAATTAGTGATCCACGCGGTTAAAGTCAAATCCCATCACTTGCAATTATATGAATTCACGATACATTTGCGTCTGTCATTTTGAATGTATTTAAATCTGTAGGAGACACTTTGCTATCATGTTATACTTTTCATGCTAGTCACGTGTACACCACATTCAATGTTTCGCAGAAATTTAAATTATATTTCTGCTTCATTAACCGTAATTTGCAACACTTAAAAACCATAGTATATCAACTTTCATGAATTTACAATGTAGAATATTTTTTAAATGAACTTAAACTGTAAAAGTTATTTGTTTTATTAACCTTAATCAACATTTAAAACCTCACTATGTCAAATTTCATAAATATAGAAAAAAAATTTAAACAAAGTTTCAAATTAATTAAGTTTCTGGCTCCTTTTTAAAATTTAAGACGTATTGAAATTGCTTGTGGAATAAAAAATTTGCCAATTAATTTTCACTGTTGATTTTAAATGATAAATAAATGGTCTGATTTTTAAATAATTTTAGATTAGGTACTGCAGTGGTGCAAAGTTGCGTAAAAGCTGAAGATATTTTGTAAAGAGCACCTACAAGTTTATTTACAGGTAAATCAAGTAAATCAGGAGGATTAGCGTAAAAAAAATCAAGACAAACAGTTTCTCTAAGCGCTGTTGTAACAATTCCTATTATTTGATTAATTTTCTTTGAACAAAATATGACAATTTATATTTACGTACATCGGTTCCATATTTAGTAGCTTCTCCAACTTCATATTTATAATGCACATCGAATGATTCATTTAGTTTTTCGACATAGTAATATTTGATACCCAAAGGAGGAATGTTCCTAGCAGTAAAAATTAAGTCAACATCACTAATAGAAGAGTCACAATCAATTGGATAGTTCATATTTTTAACTATGTCGTATATTTCCTGTCCTAAAAAAGGTTGTGAAAAAAATAATAAAAGTTTGTTACTTCCAGAATAACTAATGTTTATTTTGAGTTATAGTAGTAGTTTTTTTGCTCAGTACAAATATTTGAGTATTAAAGACTCAAATGCAGCACAATGCTATTGTGGTGCATTACTTAGATGCAGCTTATGCTTCAAAATTCTGCTCAGAAAATAACCGAACTTTTTTTAATTACACGCTAATAGAGATATTCAGCGATATGTGGTGGACAGCATTACGTTGCGCATAATCCATAGACCTAGTTTATAAGGTCTATGGCATAACCTCATCTATAATCACATGTTCTTGGTTTGTTGGTATCTACTTTAGTTTCCGTGATATTGTTATGCAATGTATTTAAATGATAGTGAGGATTTTTGAAATGAGCGATTTTCTGAAACAATGATGCAACGTGAAATTTTGCGTGAAACTTAGGAAAATCTTCACGCAAAATGTTTCAACTTCTGAAACAACGACGATGATGTTCTGGGTCATACGCCATGTTACGAATGGTTTTCACAATTTAAAAGTGGTCGAAGATGATCCCCGACCAGGAAGGTCTTCGACTTCAACTGATGACTCCCATGTTGCAGAAGAGGTTAACATCTTAATTAGGTCATCTCTACGCCACGAGAAAGCACGTCAGTCTCGATCTAATATCAAAGTGATGCTCACTTTTTTCGACGTTAATGGAATTGTGTATTTTGTATTCTTGCCGTAAGGTGAAACAGTGAACTGTGTATACTATCAAGGCGTTTTACTACGGTTACTTAAAAAAGTCCGCAAAAAGAGACCAGATCTGTGGGGAGACAACTCATGGTTCCGTACTCGCCAGATCTGGCTCCTTGCAATTTTTTTTCTTAGCCAAATGGAAACACCAGTAAGAAAAATGTGTGAATAGCGGAGGGGAGTACTTTGAAGGGCCAATAAAGTTCAGTTATTTTGTGAACAGACCTCGTATGTTAAATCCAAACATCAGCAATAATAATTTCATTTCAACCTTTACAAGAATTTCAAATACAGCAGCGAATGATCCAATGCAGATAATACGTGCCTTATTTTGCACGAGAAAAATATATTTCATAAAGAATTATAGTAATAGTTACCATCTGGTCCAGTTATATTGTATGCGCCGTTTTTAGCTGGTAGACGAACGTAATACGTCACATATCTAGAAAGTGGATTATACACCGTCACCATATACTTGTCCTTAAGCGCATTTTCACAAGAACTAATGTTTGCAAGCAGGCAAGACGAAACCGGCAACGTTATGTCGTCAGTCACATCATCTTTTTTCAACAGATTTCTGAAAGATATTTCACATTATTACCTATTATTATTACTGGAAAATAAAACTTTTTGGGACTTTTTTACAAAATAATAACACCAATAAGGACGTTTTAAATAAGAACGATAGAAAAGATATTAGATATTAAGTAAAAAGTGTGTTATATCCCGGTGACTATATTTGTACCCCAATACTTTTCCTAAATGGCTCTCGGTTTCCCTAATAGCTTTCGTCAACATCCTGGTATAGTCTGCAGCAACATGTTCTTTCTCAGTGCCAGTGATAGCATCGTGGTGTTGCATAGTACCCATAACTTCCCTTAATGATCTAACGTTCTCTTCATATTTATTTTCATTCTCCAGATTCCTCATTTTTGAAAAAGCATTGAGGTGTTCAGAAACCTAAAGGACCAAATAGATTCATTTACTGTTCAGAATATACAAGGTGTTCCAATTAAAACTTCCCATCTGGAAAATATCAGAATTAAAATAAAAGAATAAAATACCTGAGACATGTAGATTTTCTTTTCAAGGAGGACACGTGATGGCGTAAATATTGGTGTCTTGGAGGCTACGCCTGAGACAGGAGCATAAAATATTCTTAAACTTTAAATGGCACCCTCAATTTAAAGCCTTTTCAATTCTGCTCACGACAAACAACTTTTCGAATTTTGGTTTGGACATGACAATAAAATCATCACTTAAAGAATGAGACAAAATATTAATGAATGGAAAGTATGTTATTTTATTAAATGTTCAAATTGGTTTCCCTCCGCTTTCATACAACAATATAATCTTTGCTCCACTTCCCAACGAACATTTCAAAGGATTTCGGGCGTTATCTAACGACATTCTTCAACAATTCGCCAACGGAGCTCCTCTTTTAAGGATGAGTGTGTGAGGAATGCCTGTTTGAGACGGCGAGTGTTGAATATAATGGTTTTATTATAATAACCATATACAGGTCTCTTAAGGGTGACCTTAACGTATACTTAGAAAAACCGAATTTGCTATTAAGGGCGCCATATTCTTTAAATAGTGTTTTCCACAAAGACAAATAATTTCAAACATTTAATAATTGAATAATCTAAAGCTTATCAAATAATGGAATGTTATGTCACGCCATCTGGGTATTTTCAAAGACGCCACAGTAAAACGAATAAACAAGCGCAAAAAACAATCAAGGTTTTTGGTACTGAAATCTACGAAAATACTTTTTTGTTTATAAACAATTCCACATGTAAATATTCTTATAACATTTACTTGCTTAGTCCTACATATAAAATTGTTTACTTTTATTTATAAGTACGTGAAAATAATTCTTAAAATGTGGGGTTAGAATAACAGCAAACGCATGTTTTACAAACGCTTTTTTTAGTTATTATTTTATTTGAGTAAATTTAAATGGTAACA